ACGTAAAAAATAAGAAATCTGATAGCACCATTTCCAACTAACAAGTTTTATTAGAAGGCATAAAGGCTTGACTAATGTAGGATTTAAATGGGATAGGTGAAGGGAAGGGAGGGGAAAGCAGGCTGGTTATGCAGAGGTAGGCTACATGTGAGACAGATTATAAGTACCATAACAATTAACAATTGTAATATGTTAAAAACCCATTGTGTTTGTGGAGACCTTCTGAATTTGCCTAAAACCTTTTCATGTATGTTAGTTCAACAATTTCTCACTCAATAGTGCTGTTAATGTCCTGCTTTTCTAAAAGAGTGACTTTGAGATCTGCTATGGAACATCCTGGAAGGCTGAAATGCTTTAATATTACCTTGCCCTTGCTTTGAATCCTAATGTCAAATTTGTGTCTATTAATTCTTTTGTGCAAAGTTTGTCCTATTTGTCCTATGTAGACTCCAGAAGGACATTGCTGGCAGATGATGGCATACATCACTTTGGAAGAAGAGCATGTGAAGGCGCCTCTAATTGTGTGCGTTGGGATCTGTGATGGTGATGTTGGTGTAGACATGAGGGCAAAGTAGACATCTGGATTTGTTGAAGTGTCTGATTCCCACATTGGCACAATTATCCTGTTGCTTCTTGTTGCCTGTGAAAATTTGCTTATGCCTTCTAATAAAATTTGTTACTTGAAAAAAGTGGTACAAATTTTTTGCCACTATAGACTAACAGGGTTTTTCTCCTTGTTTTTTTGAAGGTGGATATGTTTCTTGTTTTTTAACACTTAGACCACTGAGAAACAAGGAGAAATCAGAAAATAATCTCACAGCACTAGACTTTGCTTAGTGAATGTGTGTTCCCAAATGTGAAAACAACCTGGAGGGAAGTATTTAAGGAGAGAGGAAGGTGTATTAAAATATTCTGGGGGGATTTTTTCAGGGGAGAAGAATTAAGTCCTCTGTTCTTGTTACTGATTGTTGTGTGCAAATGACTTCCCATTTCTCAATTTGTTTTATAAAGTTTTATAAGTATTGCATTAAGACCCCTATAATTGATTTACATCACACTTAAAGCAGGAGTGTGGATACCAAATCTTGAAGATTGCTACCTAGTACTTTAGCTCCTGTGTCCATTAAGTAAAAAGCACACCAAAACCAATTATTTTTAACACAATGTTAAAGCATTTCCTTGAAGGGAGAGAGAAAAGAAACAACAAACAAGGCAATGATAGACATTTGCAGCCTATTTTGCTCCAAAAAGACAACTAAAACACCACTCCAAATCTTTCTCACCACTGCCTGAAAAAACAGCCCAGCAACAATAAGCGACAATTCAAAGGAAAAAAAAAAAGGACTTGGAGGAGATTAATTTAAGGCACCGGCTGATCCATTCAAACTATCTACACTTCAACCAATTAACACAGAATTGTCAATTATAACATAAATATTGAGAGGCATTGAACAAATGGCAGATCAACTCAGAAGGCCACTTGAGTCCATAGTTAAAAGTCTCAGTATGCTGATACAAATCTTAGAAGTAAAAGTGGAATACTCTGAAAGCCAAAGTCACTATCTGAATGTGTGTCCCTGAAAAGGGCTGTAGAACAGGAAGAAGAGGAGTGCGTGTTTA